TCTTCAATTTTATAAAATTATAGGAATGACTTCATTGTTTTAGATACAAAAATGAAGATATGCAGGCGACCCTATCAGTTTGAGATTTCATTCAGTTTAACAGTTTCACAGCAGGCTTCTTTGAGATTAATCCTTTTGTTGCAGATATATTAGCAAAGTAGACAATGTGGATCTTTCACACAATGTAACTTTGCTAGATGAAGATGACTGCTTGGGAAAGAGATCTATTTCCAAATAACTCAAAGTATCTCTTTTGGACAGTAGGCTGGCTAAACTAAGAAGAGGACTTTGGGCTGGCATATTTAGGAATGGATAAATATACTCCAAGAAGTATACTTTCATTTGCTAAAAAGAAAGTATACTTTCATTTGCTAAAAAGAAAGAAGTAAACTTTCATTTGCTAAAAAGGGAAGCTGGAAAATTCAGATAGATCTAAGTTCTGAGTTTTGTTTCGTGATCTTAATAGCCTGCTCCCCATACTCAGGCCAGGAAGCTGCGAGAATGGGGGGGGGGGAAGGATTGCTACACTCCTTCTGAGATTCGGGACCCCCCTCCATACTCTACTGCATACCTCCACACCCTCTCTGTCCTGGCGCTCCCAGTTACCTCTCATTCTTCATCCCATGCCTCTGAACAGCACCTTCAGACTGACACCTACGTTTGGTTGTCTGCTTAGCTTTATTGGTCTCCTTTTTTTTTAAATTACATTTTATTTTTTGGAGGAGTTTTAGATTCACAGAAAATTGAGAAAGATGTACAGAGGTTTCCCATATACTTCCTGCCTCCATGTGTGGATAGCCAGGGACAGCCTCCTCCACCGTTAACAGCCAACAGAGTGGTGCATTTGTTATGATCTACGAACCTTACACCAACACACCGTTATTATTCAGAGTGTGTAGTTTGCATTAGGGTTCAGCCTTGGTCTTGCACATTCTATGGTGTTTTGTTTTGTTTTGAGTAGGCTTCATCCCCAGCACTCAGGCCAACCCTCAGCTTAAACTCACGACCATTAGACCAAGAGCTGAGCTGAGATCGAGTCAGATGCTTAACCAACTGAGTCACCCAGGTGCCCCTCTGTGGGTTTTAACAGATGTATAATGGCATATGCCTACATGTCATACAGGGTAGCGTCACTGCCCCCCAAACCCTCTGCGCTCCACTGATTCGTCTCCCCCTGCCCCCAAACCCTAGCAACTATGGATCCTTATATTGTCTCCATGATGATACCTTTTCTAATACGTCGTATAGAATCATAGTCTTTTCAGACTGGCCTTTTTTTCAATTAGTAATTTGTGAAAACTTCAGGTTCTTCCATGCCTGGTAGCTCATTTCATTTTAGTGCTGAATAATACTCCATCCTCTGGATAAAAGACACCTTGTTGCTTCCACGTTTGGGCAGTTACAAATAAAGCTGCCGTCAACATCCATGTCTGCTTGACTTTTGATTCCAACTCCCTTCACTTCCCACCCTGGGAGGCTGTGCTGTGGATCACCATCAGCTGAACACTCGCAGCGTCAGGAGTCAACCCCACACCATCCCCTCACCTGTCCAGGGCGAAGCTTCTGAGAAGCCTTAGGACAGCTGAATTGAGAGGAAGGGACAAAACTCAGAAAAAACACGGAGTGCCCAAGCCTCCAGATTTATTCTGATTTGGCTCTGGCAATTGTTGTGGAACTTGGATTTCACAGACAATTAAAAATGAGTGGGTATACCTGTGGCAATGAGAGACAAGATTTCAAGGGCTGAATCTTCTTCCCTACCTCCCCCCAACCCCCGACCACACCCTGACGTGGGCTGAGAACAAAGATACAGGAGTCTCAGCCTGTCAGGGGTGACACTAACGAAACCGGGCACGGCAGGTGTACCGTGACATCAGAGGCAAGCTAGACACCGGAGAAGGGAGAGATGTGGAGAGAGAAGGGGAAGGGAGCAGCGTCGAGTTTCTGTTTATCTCACCTCTCCTGCCTCCCACGTCCAAGACCGAAGGGGTTTATAACGGGTTTGAAGTGAGGGGAAGAAGGAGGGAAAACATAGAGTAGAGCAAGCCTGCACCGGACACTTGCTACCCGCAGTTCGCGGGTGGGCCATCTCCCTGGATGGTTCTCTGGAGCTTCTGCGCAAGCGGCGAGGAGGGGCGAGGGAAGGGGTGCGGACAGACACCTCTTAGACGTGCGCACTCCACAGTGATGGGAGAAGAGCGTGCGTGCGAGTTGTCTGTGACCTGGCAAGCGTGATGCTCAACGGTGGGTCTGGCCACCCCAAGACCTCAGCAGGCGGATCAGGGGGACGGTTCCGATGGGTGTCTGGGGTCGAGGCAGGAGAGGCGGCATCCTTGGCACCAGGAAGATGGGGATCTATTCTCGTGCCCATGGGCCCCACCTGCACACCGTCTGTGTCGAGAGAAGCGACACTGATGGCATCAGCAGCCAGCTGTACTGGGCCCGCCACGCTACGACGAAGGACTAGCCCCTGCCCTTGCCAGCACCGCTTAGTTTCCATCTTCCTGGAGATAGAGCCAGCTCCGCAGAGACAGAAAAGGAGCTTGGAGAGGCAGCTCTGAATTGGGCCGGAGCTGAATCTAAATCATGAATTGGCTGAGAAATTGTTGGATTTGGCGGTTACCTTGGCTGGCCAACGTGAAGTTCTTCCTCTTCAGAACAAAATGATGGCTCCCAATCTAAGAAATGCTCCATGAAGCGAAAGGACCAGTTTAGCGATACAAATCTGCGACTGTACAGTTGATCTCCATCCCCCACCATGACGCAGCACTCGGGATATATACACTCTCTATGTTATATCTCACCTCGAACGAACACTTGGTGATAAAACCACACCAGAGAGGCATGCATTACGCTCCAATAGTATGTCCCAGTTAGTCGATTAAATGAGAAAACAAGGACACTAGGCAATCATACTTCTCACTCTTTACAATATTTAGAAAGCAACATAGAGTCAAAATGATGAATATGATTGTCAACATCCTAACAGCAAATCAACTTGAAGTAAAGCTGAGACATTCTTGTAAATGGTCTTTGAAATACAGTATGAATCCCATTGGGACAGAGATAAGGTAACTATTAAGGATGAACGTGAACCCCACAGAAATAAGTAAGGGGAAGAGAGTCTACTCAGTTTCAGAGAGGCTCCAAGATCCATGTTTGGGGAAATGAAATTGAGTGCATATTCAAGCTTTCCTTTGTTCTCAGCCTCGTGTTTCACCTGGATCTATAGTCTATCCTTATAATGACTGTACGAGGTGGTTGGGGCAAGTGTTAATAAGCACATTTTCCAGAGCACAGAGTGTCATCAGCATAGATGCGAAGTGCAAGCAGGAGCCCAAAGCAGAACGTTTTATGCGAGGAGATCTTTCTGTCACATCTGATGATATCTCTGCTATCACGTGGATTCTCAGGGTACCGCCTGGGATGATGTCAGTGTAATGTACACAGCTCTGTATTGAAATTCATTTTCTCTCTCTTCTACACACACACAATAATAGTGTACACTTATGAAATGCTGTGCAAAGGTAGGGCATTATCATCCTATGGAATCATGTGCTTCTCGTGCTTGACCTGTGACATCAGACCAACACTCAATCGATCCTGTCTTGAACACTGCTTGACTGTGAGAAAATCTTGCAAAGGAACTTTCAACATGTGATAAAGAAGAGAATCTGGGGGGCATTATGGTCAGAAACAAGAGGGTCGCATAGAGATGTGTTAGATCAACACGCTAGGACTAGAAAGAAAATAGGCATTTCTTTGGTGTTGTTTTTAGCCTTCCAGAATTTTATAGTGTTCTCCAGAATTTTGCACTTTTTAAAAAATTTTTTTTATGTTTATTTATTATTGAGACAGAGAGAAACAGAGCATGAGTGGGGGAGGGGCAGAGAGAGAGAGAGGGAGACACAGAATCTGAAGCAGATTCCAGGCTCTGAGCTGTCAGCACAGAGCCCGACGCGGGGCCTGAACCCACAAACCACGAGATCATGACCTGAGCCAAAGTTGGACGCTTAACTGACTGGGCCACCCAAGCGCCCCAGAATTTTGCACTTTCAAAAAGATGGAGGTGATATCAGGAAGATGAATTAAAATGATTATGCGAGTTGGGACACCTGGGTGGCTCTCAGTTGGTTAAGTGTCCAACTCTTGATCTTGGCTCAGGTCACGACCCCACAGTTTGTGAGTTCGAGCCCCAATCGGGCTCTGCACTAACGGTGTGAAGCCTGCTTGGGATTCTGTCTCTCCTTCTCTCTGCCTCTCCCCAGCTTGTGTTATCTCTCTCTCTCTCTTTCTCTCAAAATAAAATAATTTTTTAATTAAAAAAATGATTATGCAACTGAAAAATAGATCTAGGGCTGTTTTGTCTGTAAAAGGGTAGAGGACCCAGGATATAACACAGTTTTACAAAGAAGGTATAGACCAGTTATATATTATCATGTGCAAAGGCAACCAAAAAATTGTTTTAATAGCTCTATGAAGGAAGATGCCTGTGTAGGTCCAATTAATCAAGAGAGCCTGTGTGTCCTGTTAATCCCTTAAAGTTGAAATATGGAGATAGGGACTGAAATCAGAGTCTTGAATTATTTTTTCTTTGAAGTGACTTCGACAACTCTTCTATTATAGGCCAGTTATTTTGCATTTCTTGTTAAAAGTGTATGCTGGCATTTTATATTAATTAATACGTACAGAAAACTGCAAGGCTCCCAATTCCCTTAAAAGACGATTAGTCAGGGCACCTGGGTGGCTCAGTTGGTTAAGCGTCCAACTTTGGATCAGGTCATGATCTCACGGTTCGTGGATTCGAGCCCTGCATCAGGCTCTGTGCTGACAGCTAGCTCAGAGCCTGGAGCCTGTTTCAGATTCTGTGTCTCCCTCTCTCTCTGACCCTCCCCTGCTCATGCTCGTTCTCTCTCTCTCTTGGAAATAAATAAAACCTTTTTAAAAAGATGATTAGTCACATTTTTATAAATAGACTATATATATATATCATAACATACCTGTTCCTGAGAATATAGAATTTCTTTTCCCAATTTTTGTTCATACATTCTGATTCTTTCCTCAATCTGTAATACATTTATAGATAGTTAAATGTTTTATTAACTAGAAAGGAACAACTATGCATCATTATTACTGGTACCTTTCTGTCTTCTTTTTCTCATTTTCTAAATTAGCCTTTAGTTCTTGTATTTGCTTCTCCAAAACATGTTTTTCTCCGATCTTTCAATAGAAAATACATCACAAAGTAAATTACATCAACAGTGTACTCTATTTCTTCATAAGTCTGAAAAGGTATTTCTATTAAACTACATGCATATTCTACCTACTATCAAAAGTAATTCAGGGGAATAATGGGTTACATTTACTTGTAAATCCCCATAAATTGCAAGAATTTAATATCTCATGCTTCTATGTCCTATATATGGTCCATTTAAAGGCAGCCAGCTCTAGACAATATTACAAAGCAATCAAAACTTATTTTCATTCTCCTCTCCGTGCCTGCTCCCTCCCCCCCCTCCCCCCAGGATCCCTTTTCCTAAATCCCGTTTTCCCTCCTTCCTGTGACCTCTCCAGTTCATTACAGGCAGTAGCTGCTCTGGTTATTCTATTTCCTTATTTCTTTTTTTTTACCCAAACTGCTCTCAGGAAAGGATCTGACCAAATCAATCACATCAGAGCTTTATGCCATCCATTTCTCAGTATTGTTTATCTTTTACAAAGGGACAAAGTTTTGTTAAAAAGGAATGACTCTCTAACAGTGGAATTGTAGGCCTATGATGAGATTTCTTTGGGTACAGCCTGGATGTACCCCAGAATCAGACTATAGTGGGAATCGTGTCCTCTGTCTCTTCATGGGATTGACTCTCAGTGTAGCTTTCAAAGACATTGCTACTTTTTAAGAAGAATATATAAAGAATAAGTATGTTAATAATTATGGTCACACTAGTTACTATTATACCTCAGTTACTGATAATTTCCCCTTCATTGCTTCGTGCACTTCAACTGGTTTTGGAGATTTTGCCTGGCATGAAAATAAACATATGAAATATATTTGCATGAGATATAATATTTCAAATCAGTGCCTAGAGATGTGGTTTCTCTGCAGCTTAGAGAAAGCTCAGGCTTAGCTGAGCCTTAAAATAAGGCAGCCACAGTCCCACAGGGGGCTTCTCTGCCTTCGCTAACGTACAAAGCCCAGTGTTCTATACACATTGCATTTCCAGTTGGACAGTCACAGCCCATTAAAGCCAACTTTCCCATTTCCATCTTCTTTAACTGTATTACTCTGCACTCAGGTATTGGTCAGATTTTACCATTATACTTGGGTGTTTTTTTTTTCAATCAGGTGGGCAGCCATTACCCAGTGAAGTCACAAGCTTAAGAAAACTTTATTTTAGGGGCACCTGGGTGGCTCAGTTGGTTAAGCATCCAACTTCAGATCAGGTCATGATCTCACGGTTCGTGGGTTCGAGCCCTGCCTCGGGCTCTGTGCTGACAACTAGCTCAGAGCCTGGAGCCTGTTTTGGATTCTGTGTCTCCCTCTCTCTCTGCCCCTCCCCTGTTTACGCTGTCTCTCTCTCTCAGAAATAAAAAACAAACAAACAAACAAACAAACAAACCCTTTATTTTAAATGATAACTATGATGACTTTTCACTACTGATCTCTCTGATGATGGTAAGAGTAGATGGCAGTGAGAAAACAGACTGAATGTAAAAATCTGCCCTAAAAGACAGAAAAAGGCGCTCCTTATTACTACCACTACCCCTCTGGTGGGCTCTGTGACCCAAAAGGCCCCAAATCTGTTGCCCATCTTGGTGAGGTGGGCTCTACGCAGGAGGGTCTGGTGCAAGGTCCGGGAACAGCAGCTAGAGAGTTCTGCAGAATAAAGTAAAAAGAACCCAGAGCTCCCCGTGGGTAATCAGAAGTGAGGGCTGGGAAGAGACAGAGCAAATGGCCAGGCAAGACCACAAGGCTGGAGGTCTTATGGTGTGTGGTGAGGCCACAGGTGGCCAGTGTCCAGGGATGATGTCCACTCTTCAATCTGAGATGGCATCTTGGGGATGCCTCCTCATCCTCCTGAAATTTACATAGACAAAGGTGTCATGTGGGTCAGTCATTTTAGTAGAAATCACAGAATTGGATTGAATTTCATAACTGATTAAACAAAACAGAAACTGGGATGGCAAACAGAGCACCATGAAAATCAGAGACTGACTTGGTTCAGTGGAAGAAGGACCCACACACAGCGACAACCACCAGAATATGACCAGGGCCCCTGGCGGGAAACACAGGGTGTGCTTTAGGCTGCCACAAAGCCCAGAAGGTGGGTTTGAACAAATTTTAAACTTCTATCTGAAAGAACAGAGAGAACCCAGTTGACATCAGCTGCTACGAATAAGAATAACAAAATGTGTAATAACAGCCCATAAAAGCCATCATTTACTGAGGGCCTACTGTGTGCCAGCCACATCACATATATTACTATTTATTTCTATATACTAACCTATTGATACTTTCACTCCTATTACTTTAGATTTTTTATTGATAGATGATGCATGCACGTAGTTTTTAAATGAGCTACCGATAGCATACACGAACCTGAAACTCTCACTTGCCGGAAGCTAAGGGCTTTGTTTGTTCGTTCTGTTTTTTACTTTTTCTCATAATCATTATAAATAAATAATAGTCTTTATTGATTTGGGCTTCTCCACAAATCAAGATTAAGAATTTAAAGCATTCCCGTTACTTCCTGGAAATTGTCTTTTATCTCTTTTATTACTGTCTTACTTCCATTGTCTCTGTCTTGTTTCCTGAAAACTCTATTAGAAAAATATTAGACGATCCATCCTCCATATCTTCACTTTTCTCATAATTTCTGTCTGCCATTTTGCACTATGTCCTAGGAAACTATTTTCACTTAATCTTCCAGATTATTAATTAGGTCTTGAGCTGTCAATTTTATTATTTAACCTGTCCATTGCTGGGGGGTTTTTTGTTGTTGTTACTTCCAAGAAATCGTTCTTTCCCCCAGACTGCTTCTTTTTCATAGAAGCCTTTCCTTCCTTAACGGAGAAAACTTTCTCTTGACTGTTTCCTCAAATATATTAATTTTATTTTTTTTAATGTTTATTTATTTTTGAGAAAGAGAGAGACAGAGTGCAAACAGGGGAGGGGCAGAGAGAGAGAGACACACACACAGAATCCGAAGCAGGCTCCAGGCTCTCAGCTGTTAACACAGAGTCCAATGCAGGGCTCAAACCCACAGCCCATGAGATCATGAATTGAGCTGAAGTCGGATGCTTGACTGACTGACTGAGCCACCCAAGTGACCCCCAAAATATATTAATTAAATTTAACAATGTCTTTTAAGTTCTTGTCTCTTCTCTGACTTATCCATTTCCTGTGGAGCCAATGGCTGTTTCTTCTCTTTGGTTTTCACTCACTAAATATTTGCTGAATTCCTATGATGTGACAAGAAACATTCTAAGAACTGAAGGTACAACAGAAAACAGAACAGGGCTGCCACAGAGGGGACATATTTGAGAGGCATTATGGCAGAGGTAGAACTTAGAGAACTCTTTGAGTGAGAAGGAACTGCTTATAACTTCTTATTTGGGCAACTAAGTGGACAAAGGTACCATTTACTAAGATAAGAAAAAAATAGGAATAGGGATAATTTTGTGTGCTACTATTCTTAATTTTTTATTTATTAATTTATTTAAATTTACATCCAAGTTAGTTAGCATAGAGTGCTCTAGTATTCTTGCTTAAGGAGGAAGAAGTTGGTAAGTTCAGATTCAGATACTGTGAGTTTGAGAGACCCATGGCACATTCAAATGACATGTAATAGGCAACTGGGACAAGGGTCTGGAATTTGGGAGTGGGGTTGATGCTAGAGATATAATTTGGAGTCACCAATATTTTAGTTGAAGCTGAATACCTGGGTGAGGCCCTGCATTAAATTGTACAGATAGAGACAAAGACAAGGTCAGAGATGGAACCCTATGGCCAGATGTGGCTGACCTGTAGCTCTGATTTATCCTCAGCCAATCAGGAATTCTCAAACCCAGATCCTAACCCACTGCTCTTACCTTCATTCTCTAAACTCTAACTCCTACTCCCTCAGTCCTCACAATCCCGGAGAGCCCTTTGAAGTGGTTCTAGAACTACTCAAATAAATGTTCCCTTAGTTGTCTACACAGTATCTCAAACTGCCAGCGGAAACCACCAACTACTGCTACCAATGTTGTGACTCAGTCTTCCCAAGTCCCATGGAACAGAAAGCTGGACAAAAAAGCAAAGCTTTAAGGCACAACAACACCAATTTAACAAAACCACTGAGAAGTGTTCGTTATCACTAGCCTTCCTTGGATTCAAAAAAGTGAGGATCGCCAAAGTGACCGTGGCATGCGCTTTTTAGAATCTTTCCACCTATTTGTTCTCAAAGGGCACCATCCACTCAACTGGCCTCTCTTCCTAGAACCAGGCAGTACAGAATGAGCTCATTGCCATTTGATCAACAATGGACCAAGGAAATCATTAGGGTAAGAATTCCAAGCTTTGCAAGGCACTTGCCAGTATGCTAGCGGAGAAAAAATGAACCCAAACTTTAACAATTATGCCACATGGGGCGCCTGGGTGGCTTAGTCGGTTAACTTTCACTTAGGTCATGATCTCGCGGTTCGTGGGTTCGAGCTCCGCGTTGGGCTCTGTGCTGACTGCCAGCTGGGAGCCTGGACCCTATTTCAGAGTCTGTATCTCCCTCTCTCTCTGACCCTCCCCTGCTCATGCTGTCTCTCTCTCTCTCTCCTCTAGAAATAAATAAAACAAAAAAAACAAAACAAACAAAAAAAAAAAACAAACAAAAAAACCCAATTATGCCACAAAAAGTTAAGAAAATGGTTTGGCCAAACAAAAAAAATGCTCCCAAGTAGAAAGACATTTGTATTTATTCACTTTACTATATCCAAAGTCATACCTGTAACTTAAAGTTTGTTACAGTGTCTGTGTTTAAATTCACGTAGAGTAAAAACTAGCTCCAATTTTCAAGGCTCCCTTTTCCTGCCTCTCATATAATGATCGACGCTGTAATAACTAAAGATAAGCCTGTTGCTAAAGCAAATCTTCTATAAAGCAAATAATCATTCAATCCCCCCCAAAAGACAATACTCCTACAATGACAAAGATAGTTTCTCTTTTCATTGCAAAAAAAACCCCACAAAAACCAAAAAACAACAAAGCACTACATGTAGACTAGAGTGTTTGCTCTCCAGTTTGAGTTGACCTTTCAACTTTGGTACAGCTCATTATATTGAATCCTGGCTCTGTCCACATTAAACTGTCATTTTGTTTTGTCAGCTGCCGACATTCCACTTTCTCTGGAACACGCACGCTGGCCTTTCTGTTGCTACTTCATTGTCAGGGGCAAACATTGGACTGCTAAGCAATAGATAGAGGTGAAAATGAATGGTAATATCAATACGAAAGTAGATAACTTCCTAAGTAGGAAAATGTAAATAATTATAAAAATAACCAAAAATTGTGATTAGAAATAATTTCCATAAACAGTTCTCATTTTCTTTTGAATTTGTTTTATAACTAAAAAAATCATAAAATTAGGAAATAACGTTCATTTTTAACAGGTTATAATTCTTAAGTTCGTTTCCATCTTTTTTGCATTTAAAACATATTAAAAACCAACATTTAATCAATATAATCTTTTTAAAAATTTTAGCGCTTTATTTATTTTTGAGAGAGACAGAAAGAGAGAGGGTGATTGGGGGAGGTGGAGAGGGAGACATAGATTCTGTCAGCACAGACCCTGATGCGGGGCTCAAACCCACGACCTGCGAGATCATGACCTGAGCTGCAGTCGGACGCTCAACCAACTGAGCCATCCAGGCGCCCCTTAATCAATAAAATCTTCTAAATTAGGAAGCAACAGCCACTGTAATAACTGAAAAAGTGCAATTATGTTTATTAATCACCATAAGATGAGCCATATTCCTGATCATACCCAC